ATCAATGTTGGCGTTGAGTACTTGCAAAATGTGCCAGGACTTCTCAGGAATCACTAGAGACATGGCTGCCCCTGCAGCCATGGCCATATGTGGGCCTCCTGTGGAAGAGAGTCCCTTCTTCACTTCTTTCTCTGTGCTGACACCCAGAACATCCCCAAGACTTTTATAAATAATTAATAAATGTTTATTGCTATTGCCATTGATATTATGATGACTGCCTTTTTATCGAGCCCTTGAGCTAAGCACTTTGCCAAAGCCCTTTCTATACGTTACCTCATCTAATTCTCCTAATAGCCTCTAATGACAGCCTTGTGGGTGCTGTTATTGTGAGATGAAGGGTGTGAGGCTTAGTGCATTTGAGTTATTCTCTCATGGGCTTTAAATAGCTTGCTTTGGCGACACAGAATTGAATGCAGGTGTTTTAACTCCTGACCCTGCTCCCTCCATCACTGTATTCTGCTTCTACTCTGCTCTACTCTTTTCTCTCAGAAAAAAGATCTCACAAATCCAGTCCTTCCTCCGGCTGTAATTACACAGCATCACATGCCTGGGCTCCAAAATCAGATGCATTTGCCTTGGAATTCCAAGGCCTCTGTCTGTTATGTGACTGGACAAGCTACTTTCTCTGCCTCTGATTCCTCGTTGGTAAATAGGTATGTACTAGCTACATCCCATGTCGATTATAGGGTTTAAAATTAAATACTATGAACAACGACAACAAAAAGAAACGAAGAATGAAAGCTTAACCTATGAAAAGCTCTGTACATTTACTGGAGTAGATTACTTAGGTAACCCATGTCAAGCTTGATGTGCTTATTATTCATTCTACTCCAGGACAAGCCTGCAGATGTTTCTACTTTGTTTCAAAAGTTGTTTAATTTGTCTCCCTGACATCAGACCTGCTAAATTCATTCTCTCCATTACTGTCAGAATTATTTTTTTAAAAACTCAATCTCATGCCATACTAAAGCACTGACTTAAAATGGAATCAACCTCTTAGCATGGCATGGCATCTTCTACCTTTCTCGTGCATTCCCTGCTACGGTCCTGAAAGTACCACAGCTGTAGTTAATACCCAACTCATTATTTCATGGACACACCCGCCAGCCTCTTGAATGATGCCTTTGGGTCTCTCTGCTCCCCGTTTCAGTACATGGGCCTTATCATCTAGAAAACTGCTTGTCCTTCAAGACTCCCCTCCTCGTGATAACTTCCCTGAAGTCAAAGTCAAACACCCTCTGTGCCGTTAAGAGTATTTTATTCATAGTATTTGTCAAGCCAATTTGAAATTCCTGAGTTGCAATTACTTTCTCCAGGAAAAGGACCATTTCTGGACAGAAATCAATAAAATCTGGTGTGTTATACAGTACCTGTTACATTGCAGGCAACTAATATATAGCATTGAATGAGTAAATGATAACTAAAAGTACCATTCTTACAGTTTACAAGGTCTTTTCACATACTTGTTTTTATCACATTTTCATAATACATAAGCATAAGATTGTTTGGATACAAGAGGTTGTATTGTTATTATTATTGATATTATTAACTGGGACTTCTCCAACCTTTTACCCCATTACAGAGCCTTAAAAATATGCAAAATAATCACTAAATTTTAAAAAATAAAGGCAAAAGTGAGCACATGGCTCATGTTTTAAGAAGAGGTGATTACAGAGATCATGATAATTACCTGTGGGTGTTGGTAAATATATTGCGGCTTGATGATTGAATGTACTCCAGATTCACAGTAGAACGTTTCTTTAATTTGCCGCAGAAGCTGCTTTTTTGAGAGTCAGGCTAAAACTTTGCATCGGGGGAACTACTCAGAATTATAGCAGCATTCCAAATGTTTGCAATTTCCTTCCACTTCTTTCATGTGGCAATAATAATCAATGCAGTTAAATATTTTAAAAATCAGTAGGTTCTGCTACCTCCACGAATTCCTTGAAAACAGTTGAGCCAATGTAATAAGGAAAGAAAGTTGATTTGAGAGCTACAGTAGTGTTTATGAAAACATAATAACTCATATGTGGCACATGAACTCAATTTAGTATCACTCAAGCAATTAAAAAAGGGAATATGATACAACGAAAAATACTAGAGTGTGCTGTATCAGGTAAGTGTGTACTGTTTTGTGAAATCTTTGTTTCAGCTGTATGTTGTATGGGCTTCCTAGGTTGTGATGTAAAATATATTTCCCACTGCATTGGGTCAAAAATTTAAAAGCCTCCACCGTACAGGACAAAGCAATATTGTTCAGGGAGTGGGATCAGTTCTAAGTAGCCACTTAATAAAATGAGTTTAATAGCTTCATAACATTGTAATCATGTCCCATTTAATGCCCCAACCCACCCATTACATAATCATAATCCCTAAAGCATAATATAGCTCTGATTCATTCACCAGACTCGGCTTTCAATAACATTTAATTATTTGTAAAAGTCAAACCCATTTCTAAGAGATGAACACTCACTACCACCGAAACCGTGCGGAAGAATTTGCCGTAGAGCCTGAAGTCAATACCAAAAAGCAGTGTGAAAAGCATTCTCAGCAAAAGTAATCAGTAGAATTGGACTGAGATCACTCTTTTCCAGGGATGCTCCTGGCATTTCTGTTCATATATTTATCATGTTTATGTATAATTACTATATAATTTTCTCTTAGTGAAACTGAGCCCTTATCACACAGAAACATTATTTCACTATTTCTGTATAATTAGTGCTTTTGCATATATTGTCTGGCACATAGAGACATTTAATAAATGTTTGTCAAGAAGACAGTACTCGTTTGGATAAATACCTGTTCTGAAACTTAATGACCGACTCTAGGTCAGAGCATATGCTAAGGCTATTCATGATTCCTGCCCACTTAAAAGAATATTCTTCTCAGAATGTTTCAGCCTGCAAAACAAAATCTTAATGAAATTTAAAGTTTATAACTTTTTAAATCAAGGCAATAAAATTCAAAATGAGATGTTATTTTGATACCAAATTAGTATGGATGCAAGCAGAGAAATGTGCACTGTCAGACAATGTTTGTGATAGGGAAAACTGAAGAAGATGGTTTGGAGATGCAAATCAAAAATCTTTAAACATACTTCTTTTATGAAGAAATTTTTCTTCTGGTTCTTTATTCTGTGGAAAAATTAAGACCGCAAATATGGACACGAAAGTATTCATTTCAGTGCTCTTCACAATAGATTAAAATGTCTAATACTGGAAGATTGATGATGGAAATTATGGTAATTTTTACACAGAATAGTATGCAGCCATGATAAATGGTGATGCTCAATTATATTGACATAGAAAAAGGCTTAGAAAATAAATGCACTTTAAAAGGCAGGTAATGAACCTATAAACTGCAGAATATAATTTAAAATTTCTTGTGAGGTGAAATTCATATAACATAACTATTAAAGTGAACAAACAGTTCAGTGGCTACTTAGTATATTCACTTTCTTGGTTCACTGTACTTCTGTATAGCTCCAAATCATTTTCATTAGCCTGAAAGGAAATCTGTACACACTGTGTAGTCACTTCCTACTCCCTCCTTCCCCATCTGTGTTGTGTGTGTCTCAATGATTTACTTATTATGGGTCTTTCAGGTAAATGGAATCATACAGTATGTGATCTTTTGTGTCTGTCTTCTTTCACTTAGCTTAATGCTTGAAGGTGCATCTGCCTTATAGCAGTACTTTATTCCTTTTTATGGCAGAATAATATTTCATTTTATGTATGTGTATTGATTTATCTGTTCATTGGTAGACAGACATTTGGATTGTTTCCACTCTGGCTGTTGGGAATGGTTGGTGCTGCTATGAACATAGATATGCCGCAGAATCATTTTAATGATACAAGTATCTACTGGCAGAGAATAAATTCAGGAATATTAGCAGTCATTATGTTGGGTTTGCAGATGAATCTCTTTATATAATGAAGAGCATTAGGCTTGAGAATTAATCAGACAATCCTCCATTTCTTCATACGTAAAATGAGAAAAATAGAACATTAAATAAACCTGGATTATTGTGAAGAGTAAATAAAATATATGTAAAGTACTTAGAAATACCTCAGGGCACCGTGTGAGTATTGAGTACATAGTATTTTAAAATACTTTGGGTTTCTTTTACATTTATTCAAAATAGTTTTTCTAATGGGGTAATATTAGTGCTAATAAGCAAACTTCCTCCTTCTCCCCCTCCTGTATTTGCATGCTACGCAGTTAAGATACAAGTTCCTCCTTACTGATCGTCACTCTGGCTGGTGCCAAAGGCTGCTTGATTGTTTGACCTGCTAACATCACTTTGACTAAGACTAGTTCTACAGTACAACTCTCCTTCTAAGTTCCAATTAAAATGACATTCCGCTAGCGTGTTCTGTAGCCCCCTGCTCTTCTCCCGTTTTATGCTTGGTTTCAGCATTGCTCTGTGTGTTGCACATGCAACAAGGTCATACGTCTTAGCAACTGTACAAAAGGAACGGAGGGACTGGTGACGGGCACTGGCTTTCTCGTACACAGGAAAATTCTTTGCGGTGAGGTATTTCCAAAAATATATTTCCTGCGGCATCTCTCCTTGTACTCCCTACAAAATCTCGAATTTTATCTTTTTATTGAAAACTAAAACTTTTTCGCCAAGTGTGCCCAGCAGAAGGGTTCCGGTCCGGGGCAGGGTGCCTCTCCAGGTTCGAGGTGGCTGAGTTTGCGTTTGCAGCCCCGGCGCGGGAACTCGGAGGGGCGCGCGCTGTCCCACCGGGAGGCCGCGCGGGGGCCGGCGCCCGGGATTCGAGTTCCCCTCGGGAAGTCGCCGGCGCTGGGCGCATCCCCTGGGCCCCACCCTCGAAGTTCGCCGGCGCGCCCCGGAGGGGGAGCGCGCCCGCCCGCACAGGTGTCTCCGGGCCCGTGGGCGGGTGCTGGGGCCGGGGCCCGGGGGGAGGTGCCCGCGAGGTGGTTCCCGGCTCCTCCTCGGCGCTCAGGTTTCCGCTCCCGCCCGCCGGCTGCGGCGCCGCCTCCCCTCCCCCTCCCCGCGCCTGGGCCCACTGCGCGGCCTCTGCCCGCCTCGCCCCCGCGCGGGCCTCCTCCCGCTTTCTCTCTCCGCTTCCCCTCGAGCCTCCCGAGGAGCCCGCAGCAGCCGCGGGGCGCCGGGAAGATGGCGGCGGCGGGAGGCGGCGGCGGCGGCGAGGGGGGCGCGGGCCTGGGCGGCGTGGCGGGGTCGGGGCCGGGGCCGGGGCTGCGCGCGTCCGGCCCCTCCGCGGAGACCCGCGAGGACGCCCGCGGCCCGGCGCCCTCTGTGTTGCACTCGGAGGAGGTGGCCGCGCGGCTGCAGCGGATGCGCCGGGAGCTGAGCAACCGCAGGAAAATCCTGGTGAAAAACCTGCCCCAGGACAGCAACTGCCAGGTACGGGACGGGGCTGGGAGGCGACGCGTCCCAGGGGCACCGGGACCGGGCTCCGGAGAGAAGCTGCCCCCGAGGCGTCCAGACTGGTGCCCGACGCCTGGGGCGTTTGGGGGTGGAGAGGGTCGACGCAGTGTTAACGGCCCGTAGTTTTCGCCCCCCAACCTGGGTTTCTGAGCCTGAGGTCACCCTGGAAGAGTGGCAGGACGGGAAACTGAGGCTCCGAGAGGCGCTGCGGCTTGTCCAAGGTCACCGGAATCGGGGCGCCTGCCTCCAAGTCCGGCCCGCTTACTCCTGCCGTGGCCCCCGGGGCGTGTGGTGGGGGAGGGGTCGGGGAGCGAGTAGGTGGAGGAGAGTGTGGAGCTCAGTCTGGGGCGCTAGTCTTTGGGAGCGCCTCGAGAGGTGTGGAGGGTCCCGCCTGGGGTCCTCCGGACCTGGGTGTGCCATGGGAGGAGGGGACGGCCTCACGGGAGAGCTGGGAGTGAGTTTTCCTGCTGCTGAAGCACTTGACCAAGTTTGTATGAAACAACTCTGCCCCTTCAGTTTGCTAAGGCTCTGGAATAAAGAGGGTATCGCTCCGCTTTGGGGAGCCTTGCAGCCAGCCGTTCTCTGCATGCCAACTGCTGGAGGATTTATCCCTTAGTGACTCCGAGGAAGCTTACAGATAGGCAACTTTGCGTATACGATCCAGAAAAACTGTTGCTTTAAGGTTGGAAGATCGGCATTTAACTCCACCGCCCCCCCCCCCCCCGCATTGCCGATGTTATATAGTCAATTGTATTCAGAAAAGCATAAATATACAGAGAAGCGAAAAGTGGGGAAATTGAAATCACCCGTATTTCTGATACTTAAATGTAACCGTTGTTAGCATGGGATATTATCCTTTCTTTTCCTGTGCGTACGTATATATACCTATGTGTTTTTGTTTTACCAAGAGATCTTATCTTTGATTCTTTAGGGTTTCTTAATTGTCTACATTTCATATATAACTTGAATTTATATATCTGTGTGGGTAGGAGGGTGGGCTGTCCTGGTAGTTGCAGATTTTGGCCAGTTCGTGTAGTTCTCCTGTAGCGGAGGCAGGGAATTGCAAGTGGTTTGGCTGTTGAAAATTGCAGGGCAGTTCCTCCGTGATCCATAAAATAATGAGACTAGGACCTCATTACTATGTAATTAGACCTTACTTAGCCTCTCACAATAAATGTAAGCATATAACCTTCGGACCATATACCTTCATGTATACATGAAGGGCCATTTTGTTCCAAAAAGCAATGTAAAAAAGTCTGTGGTAGTCTTGTGTGTGACCCCTCTTTCAAACCTGTCATTGTCCACTTCCCATCATGTCGGTACCTGTAAGGGCACCTGTAATGGAGCAGTTTCACAGAAGCGCCGTTCCTGCCCCATGCAAATAGAGGAGAGCAAGGGAGCTCAGAATCAGGGAGGCTTGGTAGAGGCAGATGGCATTTTTTAAAAAGCAAATTGAAGAAATAGCAGCTGTGTGTGTAGATAATCTAGGAGAAGAGAGATGGGGACGTGTGTTGATTTCCTTTGTAGAATGGCATCTATTTTTGTCAGACTTTCTTGCATTCTGAAATATTTAGAGCCCAAATTTTAGACAGTTCTATGTAGTCTTGGTTTTTTTTCTTACTGCCCTTCTCAAGAGACATGAAAAAAAATAGATCAAAGCATCTAATAAAAGGAACAATTTTAATTACCTGGTGTCTGTGGTGGCGGGACGTTTTATGAGAATTAGTACACTGGTTTGTATTTTTGAGGTGTTCGCTTTCTATTATGAACTTGTTGTTAGCCTAAATCTTAGGATTTTTCTCTAAGGTAGCAAGCATAACTATGGAATAAAATTGGTATAAAACCTGTATGTCTAGGTGAGTCTTTTACTGCCAAGCATCTTAAATTTTTATGTTAAGTCTCATGCCATGTTTTTTGAGAGTTGAAGCTTCTTTTTTAAAAGCGAAAAAAAAAAGTTGTTAGGACCTGGAGACTTGTCCAGATTTGTCCTATAATTTTTCTATGATTTTTATATTGATAAAATGTTTTTGATATTTCTGATATTTAGTTTCAAAATCTAAACAGATCCGTGTTTGATTACAAATAACGTTTGAGAAGTGTTGAGTTTCAGTCATCTTTTGAACTTGTACCTTTCCTAGTTTTCTGATTACAATCATAACTGTCAGTGATCTGTGTTGCATAAATAAGGAGAATGGACCAAAGAATTCTAGTTTCGAAAAGCAAGGCTTTTCTTTAGGTTCTTCAGATTGAGAATTGCTATTTTTACTTGTCCAGTAAAGTTAATATTTATTTCATCTACCTTTTCTCAAGTTGTAATATTTTTGTGAATATATTCATCAAGGATTTTGGTATTTTATCTTTTTTCTGAACAATTCTAATGTCTTTTTCTTAGTGGCTGCATTTTACTGACAACTTATAATGAAGGTTTAACTTTAATTTTATTTTGTGCCTTTCAGCCGTGTTTCCTTCTTATGAAATTACTAAGATGGTTTTTTAAAAAGTTACTACTTTTTGTTTAGCTGTAAGTAATCAGATATTTTAAATACCGAAATTCTTGATCTTCTCTAGAAGAATCTGTGTGTATTCATGCATTTATTCTAGAATATCACTTTAAGGATCAAAGCCATTCCTAACTCTAGTTCTCATGCTTTATGGTTGTATCTCCAGAAAAGCTACAATGGTAACTGATTTGTAGGAGCCCAGTAATTTTTTTTTTTACTTTTTGAAAATACAGGTATTATCATTATTAAACACAGTTTTTATAAATCTTACTCAAATATTTAATTTTTTTGTATGACATATTTACGATTGCTTCTCACAACTTTTCACCTATGATTACAGGGCACGCTGGAAGTATTATTTTTAAGTGGGAGCTTTCAAAAATACATATATCAATGCCTTAGAAATACTAGCTATTAAAAAAAAAGAACACCTTTATACTAATAAGTTCTGCAAAGCTGTCTCATCGAACGGTGACTGTGCAGCCAATCCAGTGCTGTCTGGCCAGCCTCCTGCTTTCTTGAACCCTCCTAGCCCTCTGTGAGTTTGTAGCTCATGTCCTTTTCATCTCTTAAACAGACTATACCCAATTTTCTGTTTTGTTATCTACCCTCATTAAGGTCCTGTCTCTTAGGTTTTAGCCCGTCCTACACACTGATCCCCTTAAGAGAGTTTCTCAAAGCTCAAGTCTGATGTCACTCTCCAACTTTAAAAAAAAACAAACAAAAAATCCTTTGACCCTGAATTCCTGGCACTGCTTCTCAAACTTTCCTCAAATTGTTCATCAGTTTGTCTCTTTTCCTCAAATTGTAAGAAATAGTGAACCTGAGTTAGCTTTCTATAAGAATGAAGTTGCTTTGAAGATTCATACTCTGTTGGGAAAAATCCTCATTTTACGTTCTAGTACAACTGGACTTAATATAAAAATAGTAACTTAAACTTGTTTTACTTCCCTCCACATTTTTTTTTCATGAACTTATACTTGTGGAAGATGCATTGTATTTAACCTGTAGTTTTTTTATACTCCTGTGTTACCATGAAGCACTCAGAACTCAAGTTGGACAGCATGACAGGATAGGTTAGAAAACTAAGATTGTAGGCAATTTGCGACTTGGCCCCTGTCTGTATTTTTACTCTGATTTCTTACTAGACCTGCATTGGATTCTACTGTAGTTTTATAAGATACCTAGATCCCCAAGTCCTTCATACCAGTATGATTCAGATATTTATAGTCATGTCTTTGAATGTTAATGTTTTGGAATGTAATTATAGTGATTAGTTTATTGTAAATAAACTATTATAATTATAGTGAATAATAACAATGTTGTGAACATTGGTTGTTATTCAGAATAACCACTGTGTGTGCGTGTGTGGGTAGTCTTTTGCAACTCTGAATTTAGAATTACAGTTAGTTAAGGTAATGCCCTAATGTGTGTTTTTTATTGCATTTCTATGAATTGTTTATTTTTATGGTTAATCTTGTGTTTCAATAGCATTGTCATTGGGGTTTCAAAATGGAGAAAACAGGGGTGTATATTTCCTATATCACTTGAGTTCACTCAGTTTTTTTCTTACATGTTGAATGTGTGGTATGTATTTCATTTTTGTTGTGTTTATGGTAAAATCTAAAAGAGATTTTATTGTGATGTTAGAAGAGAGTGTGAAGTGCTTAGGGCTAATAGCCAAGATCAGTAATAGGAGAAACATTCTATTGTCTCACTTTGTGTATTATTAACTTTCATTTCAAGGTAGTCTGTTGTGGTAGTTAATTGAGAAGCTTGACAATCAATTCCCAGAGGCATATTTGAAAGTGTAGTATTATCACCTGGGCACGTTTTAGAATAACAAACCACCAAATGTAGGAACCTGGTTGATTTTCTTTTTAAAAGCTGCCTATTCTAATTTTTCTTTTATATTTCAAAAAACAATAGAATTTTCTTACATGCTTTGTGTTCTTTAACTGTGGGGTTGAAAAATATACATTATTTGGCCCTGGCTGGTGCGGCTCAGTGGATTGAGTGTCAGCCTGTGAACTAAGGGGTCACCGGTTCCATTCACAGTCAGGGCACATGCCTGGGTTTTGGGCCAGGTCCCCAATTGGGGGCACATGAGAGGCAACCACACATTGATGTTTCTCTTTCTCCTCCCCCTCCCCCTCTCTGAAAATAAATAAATAAAATCTTTAAAAATGGAAAAGAAAAATATACATGATTTGTTTTGGCTAACAATGTATTCAGTATTATTGCCTCTTTTTAAAGGAGAGCTATTACCACTTTTCTGACAGTACTGGGATGTTTTCAGGCTTGGAAATTATTCTCTCTTTTTTTCCATCGAGAATGCCATTTTGCTTACTTCCAAAAGTTACTTTCCTTAGTGTAGTTTATACTACTTAAAAATTATGTATGTCACATTCTTTTCTAATGTAGTTAATCACAATTGAATGTGGGTTTTACTTCTATTCCGTGTGTTTTAATGCC